TTTTTTTTTTTTTTTTTTTTTTTTTTTTTTTTTTTTTGGTGAAATTTAATTTTTATTCAAAGTTTTCAATTTTTTAATTATTTAATAAATAAAATAAAATCAGCCTTTAACACAAAAGAAAAAAAAAACATTTTAAACTATATAATAAATATTTAGAAATTAAAATCGAATATATTTTAATTTGATTCGAACATGTGGGTCCCACCAACACCACAGGTACCGGAGAGCGTGGTAGATGCAAGATCGACGGCGTACAACAGAGGGAGGGTGTTCATCCACGGCGCAAATGAGGCGGCGGCGGCCGCATACCGGAAGCAGTTTCAGACGGACCTCGCCGGATTCCTCCAAGCCAGGGCCCAGGAGCTGAAGAGGAGTGGGTCCATGTTCCTTGTCTGCTTGGGTCGTACCTCACTGGACCCCACCGACCAAGGTGGGGCCGGCCTCCTCTTTGGGACCCACTTTCAAGATGCTTGGGATGATCTCGTCCAAGAGGTACCAAATTGCAATTATTGAAATTATATGGATGGAAATTAAAATATATCTAATTATAAGGACTAAATTAAAATTTGTGGTAGGGGCCAAAATGAGAAGTGTAAGAAGCAAGAGACATTTTTTGCGTGTAAGAAAAAAGAAATCCCGACAAAATAATCACAGCCGTTGATATTTTTGTTTCATACGGAACTATCTTACGTATAAATGCAGCTGAATAATTCCCCCACCACCTGTTTTATATCTCTCCTTTACCAGACCAAAAAGCAAAAATCACTTTTTTTCAAGAGATAATGATTCAGTGCTGCCGGTCTCACTGAGTCCCTTTTTTTTAATACTTTTATATCGTCTGATGTCCCCTCCGACAATTCCATCCATCCGTCCACTTGTCGGAAGGAGAATGATTGTGTTCCCCCACAATATTGTATTATTATTGTTTCATGGAATTGCATGCATTATCCACATTTTCCTCTTTTTAATTTTAATATAATTTAATTAATTTTGGTATTTAGGGATTGATAAGCAACGAAAAACGTGATAGTTTCAACATTCCAGTATACGCACCGAGCTTACAAGACTTCAAGGAAGTAGTAGAAGAAGATGGTTCGTTTTCCATAAACAAGCTTGAAGTTTTCAAAGGAGGCAGTCCATTAGTAGTGAACCAGCCCGACGACGCTGCAGAGGTTGGTCGAGCTTTAGCCAACAGTTGTCGAAGTGTCTCTGGTGTTCTTGTTGATGCCCACATCGGTGATCGACTCGGAGTTGAACTCTTCTCTCGAGTCGAATGTAGAGCTACAAACCATGCTAAAGACCTTCTCGAAAAGCTTCAATTCTTTCACATTGTGGCATCGCTTTCCCTCGCATAAAAACGACACAAAAATTAGGGTTTCTTCGCCATTTTCTCTCTTATTTTTGTTCATTATAACTTCGTTAGTGTGTTGTTTTGAGTCATTTTACTGACTGTGTAATGTTCATCTTGGCTTCTTGGAATCCCCAAAAGAAATATTGTAAAAAGAAGCTAAGTGTGCAGTGTAACCTTCTCTTAGTTTAAGGCTTATTTGTATGTTCAATAGTCTCAAAAGTAGTTGTGTATTTATGCATGTACGTACGGGACTATGTTCGGTTGAGATCGGTGTTAGGGGCTGACAAGTAAGACCTGTTTCGAGTAGAGGAAGAGTAGGGTTATTTCGAGAGTATTATAACGATCATATAATGTTATATATATATTAGATTGAGATTCGTGTCGACTTAATGGCTGGTTACATGTATGAATGTAATTGTATTCTTATTTCGAAGAGTGGAAATCACTGAAAGAATTGACAATGTATTCAAGTTTTATCGTATTTTGAATGTCGAGAAATGTCTATTTCGTCAATCAAAATAAGATTACTAACGTTCTTTATCTGATATTTGTGCCATTTTTTATAATTTTCAATAAGGGTGTTCGTATGACCCGAGAACCCAACCAACTTGAACTACTCATCTTAAGCCATAAAAGTTGGGTTGGGATGGGTTAGATTTTTTCAATTTGGGTTGAGTTGAATTTTTAGAAAACGGGAAAATTCAATGTGATTCACGAATTGACATTTTTTTATCAGGTTAACTCGACCAACCCAAAAGTAAGGGTACAACCCAGCTCAACTCTACCGTACTTTTAAGATTATATTTGTGAAGATTAAGAATATTTAACGTTTGTAACCATTGTTAATAAGCGTGGTGACTTATAAATGTTTGATATTTGAGTTTTATGAGATTTTAATTATTAATGTAACATGTTAGGGATACGTATAATTTTTTTAAAAAAAAATTAACAAAAAAAAAAACTCGTACATCCCACTAGTGCTCGACGACAATCTTCTTCCACTGGCACTCGACAACAATGACCTCTTGAAACCCTAAAGACATGGCAACATGGTGAATTTTAAAGGAAAAAGTCATAGAGAATCAAGCCCCATTACGTGACAAATCACAACCAACCCGAGAGTGTTCTAAGAATCAAACATCTTTTCTTCTATGAGGACTTCCGAAAGAAAATTGCAATCATAGTTTATCGACCACTAACAAGACAATGAGATTGGAGATGAGCAAAGTTGCTCGACCGATAAGGAGAGGAACGAAGCCGCTTTACCGCAAAAGAATGGATTAACTAAGGTGACAGAAGAAGCTCACTGACGGTTCGAATGGCGATTGGCCTCCTTGTACACTCTAAGACTATGAGATACTACTGTTCATAAATGAAAAATAAAACATTAAACAACATCGTGTATCACGCTGCATTGACTTAAACCTAACAGAAAAGAATGACGATCCACAAAGCTTCAATGGCCGAAATCACCTTAAGAGGAACTTTATACGCTAAATCGATTGAGAGAAAAGATTTACGGCGAGAACGTGAAAGGAATAGTGAAAACATTAACTCAATCGATCGTAAAAATGGTTAAAACGCACAATCTCAAAGAATGAATTAAAGACCTACTTGTGACTTGATCAATGAAAACCGTTAGAATTTTTTATACTGATACAATAAAGTTAAAATGCGATCATTTTGTTTAATTTAAATATTAAAAAGATAAAATAAATTAATAAATTCAATATTATTCTATAATAAAAATATAATAGAAGAACGTAGATAAATATTTTAATTTCTATATATATATAATAATGAATAGTTAACTTCTGAATTTATTTTTTAAATTTTAATTATTAATAAAACACGTGAAATTAATATATATTATTGTTCAAAATTTAATATCTAATATAATATATAGCTTAAAAAGTAAGCTAACAATTCGGCGGTGGTTGTGTAGTTTAATTCGGAGTACAAAGATTTACGGATTCGGCGACTACGGTGTCAGCGCTGAAGATCACAGCCGAAACAAATCTTTGGGGCTTCAATTTCAATGGAGGGAATTGGATCCAGATTGGGCCGAGTCTCCTCCCGCTACGGTCCGGCCGCTACTGTCTTCAACGGCCCCGTCCGGAAGTGGAAGAAGAAGTGGGTCCTGGCTTCTTCCTCGTCCTCCGGTGTTGCTAATCAGTCCTTCTTACTCCCAATCCAATGCTCAGGAGCTTCTTCTCTGCCGCTGGACCCCGATTCCTTCGTTCCTCGGAAGCCGACGGAGCCGCCGCGCTGCCCGACGAGCCGCCCAGACGGAAGTTCCGTTACACTCCTGTAAGTCTGATCAACTATCCGAATTCTTAAGTGAGTTAGCGATTGCGTTTGCGGTTGTTGAATGTGAATTGGTTTTGACCTAGGGAGTGTCGCTGATTTCTGAGGGAAATTAAGTGAGGGTTTTTTGAAGTTCTTAATCAATCTCGTATGTTGTTGATTTTTTAAGAACGATGTAATTCTCGGAACTCGTTTGTAAGAGTAATTTTGATTTCTAGTTACTGAGTAAAGCATTCTCTTCGTTTTTGTATAATTTATCTTCTGAATTGATTAGAGTATAGGTCTTTTCATTGTTGCCTGTTCTTCTAGATTAGAATTTAACTACGAGCAAATAATTTAGCTGTGTTTGGTTGTGAAGTGCAGATTGCTGTGCTGGAGGAACAGAGAAATGCAGAATTGAGAAGTGTTAAAGATGAAATTAGAACAAAAGAAATGGATCAGTCTGCAGCAAAGACGGCTACTGTGAGCAATGAGGCTCAGGGAGAGCTAAATGTCAATGAGATTTTCAAGGAAGAATCTCAGGTAACTGACTGATTTCACCTTGGTTTGTTTATTGTTTTCTGGTTCTTGTTCTTGCTCTCTGTCAATGGCTGCCTTCTTGGTGATTTCTGATATTGATTGTTGTTCTGTGTTTGGCTGGGTTGACTTACTAGATGTCTAGATCTTTTCAACAATTTACTATTCCTTACACATGATTGGAAGATATAGTTCACATAGTAATTGACCAGGCACAAGTATAACATGGTGTTGAGGAATCTTTTATGTTAATTGAAAAGGTTACATGCTCATGTTGTTTATCAACAAACAATTAAGAACGTGTAACTAGGTTTTTCTTTTTTGGCTTCTCGAGTTTGTAACGGTGAAATCTCATATTCAAGGCAAATGCAGGACAGTCAAATAGTATGATGAGAATAGCTTAGCACATGGACGGTCAAATAGTTGTCTGATGAGAATAGTTGAGCGCATGGACGGTCAAATAGTTGTTTGATGAGAATAGTTGAGCGCATGGACGGTCAAATAGTTGTTTGATGATAATAGTTGAGCGCATGGACGGTCAAATAGTTGTTTGATGAGAATAGTTGAGCGCATGGACGGTCAAATAGTTGTTTGATGAGAATAGTTGAGCGCATGGACGGTCAAATAGTTGTTTGATGAGAATAGTTGAGCGCATGGACGGTCAAATAGTTGTCTGATGAGAATAGTTAGAGCGCATGAACAGTCAAATAGTTGTCTGATGAGAATAGCTGTGGTGCACCCAAGCTAGCTCAAATGCTCACAAATATACCGAAAGAGAAAATAAAAAACTCGTGTTCCAGGGTAGGTGAAACATGAGTTGGTTGATTGGCACCAACTACATGGAAATATTGTAGGAGAGAAGAATTTTTTGTTGCAGAACCAGATTTCTCTTTTTCGTTCTGATCTCAGGGAACCTTGAGCAATGAACACCTGGTAAAATCGATGCTATTCTTTACATACCACCATGGCAGACTCTAGGGATAAGTTATCAATTCACATACTCATGAACTATGACATAGTTTTCCAGATTAGCATAATCATAGAAAAGTTGTAGATTCTTCTGAAGAACTTGATGAACCTGCACATTCTCTTTGCAGGAAAAGGGCAAGATTCTAAACAGCCTGCATGATGTAGGCAAGAAAAATTTAGATTTGGCGTTGTGCTTGAACGGTCAGAACCAAGATTCTGCTGGTAAGAGCTCTTAGTATCTGCGAACAAGACCGAGCTCGAGCTGGTTTTGTCGTATGGGAATGGTATAGCAGAAATTAGTCTGTAATGTGATAGTATCTTATCCAATGGTTAACTTGGAAGCACATTGTTTTATAGTTAGTGTTTGTATATGATTTAGGGATAATGGGGGATGGATCAGTATATAATCTGGAAGAACCTTTTGGGAGTTTGTTTGTGGAAAGTGTATTTATTCTTCCTGAATAATGTGCAATCAGAATGCTGTAGGAAGAACAAATTGTGTTCTTGAAAATGTTTTCATTACACCATCGCCCATCACATGTGTTGATCTTGTTTTTTTGTTCTTCGTTCTGTTGTTTAGAAACATGAACTTGAGCTCCATAGCAGTATCTATGTCTTCAGACATCATTCGCCGAGTTATTTTCCAATGCTCGAGTCACACCGACCGACTTCGGTTGGCCGAAGAACTCGTATAGCATTATACCTAGACTGTCATAGAGAACATGAGAAAATCATACCAAACTGTTATACTGTACTAGGTTAGAAGCAGTATTTAACAGTAGTATGTTGTCGCGCCCCACCAAAGTTGCCGGTTCTTGCTTGTTGATGAGAGGTAGAAGGAAAAAGTTCGAGATGGATTTAAGGACGTTTAGTCTTTTGATTCAAGTAGGAATCTCGAGAGAGCGAAGCATACCTTTTCCCTCATTAGTCACGAGTATGTTGATAGTCAAATTATTCCATTTGAGAGATTAAGTCAAAACAAATGCGCGACTGAAAAGATTTCATGTTCGAATTTTTACTTCAGAAAAAACACAGATTTCATGTTTGAAATTGAAATTCACGTAGCCCAGAAGCGCGTGGGGAAGAAGCTTTACCTAGCGTAGGGATGCGTACAACATACATCATACATGCCAAGCAAAACGTGAATGCTTGAATACATCCAACGCGCATTTTTCGCGCGTGAAGCAACGTTGCAGAACAACAGCCAAGGAAGGACATTTTTTAATTATGAGGTTTGTTGAAGAGCAAACGTTATCTCATACCTCAAACAAAAATAATTAAATAAAAACATTAATTTTGAAATCTTAAAGCTGCGGAGATAATTCTTATTATTTTTAGAGGGGGAAAATTTAGAGACCCAAATAGACCTTTTGAAAGTAGAAGATAGACCAAATTGTATGTTTTTTAAGTAACAAAAGTCAAAACCAACCCGAGCCGACGTTTTAAAACATACCCCAATCACAATATAGACCTATACTAACACGAGTCAAGCCAAAATGAATATTTTGAAATATACCCTGATCACAATATAAACCTTATACCAACACGAGTCAAATCAAAATAGACATTTTGAAATGTACCCTGATCACAATATAGACTTTATACCGACACGAGTCGAATTAAAATAGACATTTTGAAACGTACCCGGATCACAATATAGACCCTATACCTACACGAGTCGAACGAAAACAAATATTTTGAAACGTACCCTGATCACAATATAGACCCTATACCGACACGAGTCGAACCAAAACAGATATTTTGAAACGTACCCTGATCACAGTATAAACCCTACATTGACACGAGTCGAACCAAAACATATATTTTGAAATGTACCCTGATCACAATATAGACCCTACACCGACACTAGTCGAACCGAAACAAAACAGATATTTTGAAATATACACTGATCACAATATAGACCCTATACCAACACGAGCCAAACCAAAACAGACATTTTGAAACGTACCCTAACCACAATATAGACCCTATACCGGAAACCCTAATTTAAAAGCATAACCCCATCTAAAATACACTTTAAAAAGCCTCGATTTGAAGCAACCCAAGAGATCAAAGCAAAAATTAATGGAAAAATCAGGCTCCTCCTTCATCTTCCTAGCTTTCTTCCTCCTTCAAACACTGACCAAACATGAAGCCACCAAAGTTCCAGCCATCATAGTATTCGGAGATTCCTCTGTAGATTCAGGCAACAACAACCACATCTCCACCGTTCTTAAGAGCAATTTTCCTCCTTATGGCCGTGATTTCGACGGCGGAAAGCCCACCGGAAGATTCTCCAACGGCAAGATCATTACAGACTTCATCTCTCAAGCTTTTGGAATCAAAACCACCATCCCAGCCTACTTGGATCCAAGCTTTAATATCACTGATTTTGTCCACGGGGTTTGCTTTGCTTCCGCCGGAACCGGCTATGATAACGCCACTTCTGATATATTTGTGAGTTGATTCTCGATCTTTCATAGATGTTCTTGGGTTAAATTGGGTCGGGTTGAGACATTTTTTTAACTCGACCTAATTGTTCGGGTTTTTTCAATTTAAACAACTCGTGAATCAACCCAATACCTAAAATTTTCATTTATTTGAACCGAACTAAATCCAAATACATTCGACTGACTCAAACATCTCCAACATCGAATAGTTAATATTACTCATTGCATTTTCTCTCTCTTGTCTTGTTTGTATTTACAGTGTCTTACATTTTCTCTCTCTTATTTCTTTGTGTTCATCTCGATTGAGTGTGTGAGTTGTTATACAGACTCTGACACTTGATTCTTCTTATACAGTCGGTGATCCCTCTATGGAAGCAACTCGAGTACTACAAAGAATACCAAACCAAACTCCGAGACTATCTTGGTGCTTCAAAGGGCAACGCCACCATAGCTAAATCTCTCTATCTCATCAGCTTAGGCACCAATGACTTCCTCGAAAACTACTTCCTTCTTCCTCAGCGGTCGTCCAAGTTTTCCGTGGAAGAGTACCAGAGTTTTTTAGTGCGAGTGGCTGCGGAGTTTGTGCGGAAGTTATACAAGCTCGGGGCGAGGAAGATGTCGATCGGGGGTCTCCCGCCGATGGGATGCCTTCCATTGGAGAGGACCTCTAGCGTGGTTTTTGGAGGTGGTGGTGAGTGTGTTGAGAAGTACAATGGAATTGCAAAGGATTTCAATGGGAAGTTGATGGGGTTGGTGGAGATGTTGGAGAAAGAATTGGGTGGGATTCGGATTGTGCTTTCGAATCCCTTCGATGTTCTTCATGATATGATTGATCATCCTAGCTACTTTGGTGAGTGAGTTCTTCAAATTCTCTTTGTGGTTTGATTTTTCTTTAAGCAAATGATACGATATGATTGACGGTTTTGTTAGGTTAGTGGGACGAGAGAAACTAAAACTAGGCGTGTTCAAAAAATTCTATGACTCGAAAAACTCGATCAAAGAATGAGATAGGTTATCAGCATATTTGGATTGAGTTAGTGTAACGGTCCGGTACAAGCCCGCTAGCAGATATTGTTCTTTTTGGGTTTTTTCTTTTAGATTTCCCCCAAGGTTTTTAAAACGCGTCTACTAGAGAGAGGTTTTCATACCTAATGTTTCGTTTTCCTCCCTAACTGATGTGGGACCCCCTAATCTACCCCTTTGGGGCTAGCGTTCTTGCTGGCATACCACCTTGTGTCCACCCCCTTTGAGCGTTAACCTCCTCGTTGGCACATTGCCCGATGTCTGGCTCTAATATCAACTTGTAACGGCTCAAGCTCACCATTAGCAAATATTGTCATCTTTGGCTTTTCTTTTTGGGCTTCCCCTCAAAGTTTTTAAAACGCGTCTACTAGAGAAAAGTTTTTTCATACCCTTATAAAGAATGTTTCGTTTTCCTCCCTAACCAATGTGGGACCCCCTTCGGGGCCCAGCGTTCTTGCTGGCATACCACCTCGTGTCCACCCCCCTTTGAGCCTCAACCTCCTCGTTGGCATATTGTCCGGTGTCTGGCTCTAATACCACCTGTAACGGCTCAAGTCCACCGTTAGCAAATATTATCTTCTTTGGACTTCCCCTCAAGGTTTTTAAAACACGTTTACTTGAGAGAGGTTTCCATACCCTTATAAAATATACTTCGTTCTCCTGTCACACCACCTCGTGTCCACTCCCTTTGGTGTTCAGCCTCATTGCTAGCACATCACTCGTTGTCGGGCTCTGATACCAACCTGTAATGGCTCAAGCCCACCGCTAGCAGATATTGTCCTCTTTGGGCTTTCCCTCGATTTTTAAAACACATCTATTAGACAGAGTTTTCACACTCTTATAAAAAATGTTTCGTTCTTCTCCCTAACCAATGTGGGATCTCACACAACCCTAACTAAAGCAGATAGTTTTTCCTCGAGAAGGTCACAATGTAACTAGACCCGAGGTATAGGTTTAAAAAATCCGAATATCTCGATAACGGTAGCCCCTTTTTCTCTCTATTCTTTCTCCTTTTTCATCCGTTTTTATGTAACTTTTGGACCCTTTTTGCTTGTGATGACAGGGTTTAGCAACTCAGCAAAAGCATGCTGTGGAACAGGCAGGTTTGAGATGGGATTCATGTGCTCAAGATTGAGTCCATTTACATGTGATGATGCCAACAAGTACGTGTTTTGGGATGCCTTTCATCCCACACAAAAGGCTCATTCCATTATGGCAAATCATATTGTTAAAACTTATCTATCAATCTTTCTTTGAACATAAAAACTTTGATAAATAAATAAATAAATGAGTGAGTGAATATACCTATAAATCCCATTTGTTTACGTGAACGGTACGATTCGTGTTAAAATAGTAGTAGAATGTGTACCGAACCACGAGATGGTATGATTTTTTAAGACGGTTTCTTCTGTTTGTAAAAGTAAAATGTATAGGATTGTGTATGTTTGATGTTAATGGCTTCATCGAGCTGATCGCTTGAGTCTATAGGTTGTCCTCATGGGCAGTTCCTCTCAAGGTCGGTCTTGTCTAATCGAAGTCAACTGACTCATGTAGAATATAGGGTGAGCTTTCACCAAACTGATCACTTGAATCTATATGTTGTCTCTCCTATCCGCTTCTCTACAATATGACTTTTCTTTCTTTACGGTTGGGTCAAAGTTTGAGCAAGTTAGATCGGACTTTTGGAGTTATTTTCAAACTTGAAATTTCAAGTTGGTCGAGTTAGCTTCTTGAATGAACTGAATAAGGTTCACAACCCAACCAACCCAACTCTTTTTTGGGTTGGATCAGGTTGAATGGCGGGAAAGGTTGATTTTTTTCTTAATTATTTTAAAAACTCGTATTTATTCATGTTACATAAATATCTAAAATCTCATATCAAGCATTCATAAGTTACAAAACATCACCAATATTTATTATAAATGTCTTTTCAAGAAGTACATGAGTCACCAACCTAAAATATTCAAACGGGTCTGAGTTAAACCGACAAAAAGAAACTCAACCGGTAAAAAAATCAAAATTTTAATTCTTCAAAACTCAGCCAAACAAGAAAAAAAAATTAAATTGGATAGCTTGAATTATTCAAGTTGTCGAGTCATTTAAGCACTCCTACCGTTAATGTCTAACTAAAAAAACATTCAATTTTTGCTAGTTGGATAAAATATTTGGATTTTTATTCAATTAATTTTTATCAGTAATATTTGTTAAGGTGCTAATAAATTTCGAAATTCTATGATTATTTTGATATATTTTTTTTTTTATATTAGCACAAAAATTAGGTCTCATTAGACCCTTAACTGAATTGCTAAACCTGAGTTGAGCATGCGTGAGTGTGGTCACCTTATGGGTTTAGTTGGAATTTCATTTTTACTATTTCTAATATAATATAATATAATACTTACAATAAAATAAAATAAAATAAAAATTTGTTAAAGATAATTATTACTTGACTTTCAAGATTATTTAACGTATAAGGTGGATTATTTAAAATAATTATACACTTATAAACTAAGTCTAATCAAATTAATTCACCTAATTATTTCACAATATTATTATTTCATTGTGGGTACAAGTTCAGAAAAGAGGAAATTGCAACAAAAAAAAAAAAAAAAAAAAAAAAAAAAAAAAAAAAAAAAAAAAAAAAAGGGGTAGAAAGGCATAGGGAAAAGCCTTATATTGTGTTGGGTGATTCAAAATGGAAGTAAAGAGAGTGACAAAAACAAGACAAAGAATCAGACAGAATCCGAGGAATTTTTATGCNATAAACTAGAAAATTAAAAAAAAAAATACAAAGTAAAATGTAAATTATAAGAAAACAATACGTGGGGAGGGGAGAAGGGGACACTAATTAAACAAAGATCGAAGAATACAGCACACAAATACAAGGCAGTGGGAAGTGGGAATTAATTAATTAGTTACGATAATAATATTAATAATAAAAATGTTGAATGTGGGGTTTAAGAAAAACCGATGGTTTTGCCAAGCAGCCAAAGAACCAAGGATAACTCTATTCCAAAGATGGTGTGGAGTGTAGTCCTATCCAGGGTAAACCCGTATATGGTTATCCCAGCTCTGTTGTTCTCGAAGTACGTCACTGCATTCACCAACCAAACCAAACCCATTAATCTATACTTAATTTCTTAATTTCTACTTAATTTTCGATTTAGATTAGGAATTTTGGGATTTTACCTAAGGCCTGTCTCTTTTGGAACGAGATGGTGCTGTAAGCGTAGGCTGGGATCAACTTGGTGTTGTCCAGTTCATCTTCTTCGTCACAACCCTCCTCCCCATCTGATTCCTCATCTCCGCGCGGTGTCACCGGAAACATAAGGTTTCCGTCGGCGGGAGCGGCGGCAGCCATGGGGGTCTCCCCGTCTGTCACGTCGAAAGAATCCAACGTCGCACATACGTGCCACTTGGCAGCAAGCGCCGTCACTGACTGCGCTTTGTGGGTGATTTTTGTGGCGCTCCGTAGTAGTATCATCAGACTTGTCAGTAGCGTCATCGAGCACAGCTGCACCCATTTTCATACTTATTTTTAATTCAATCTAAAATTAATTGCAATCAAACCGATTCTCCCCCTTCCCTTTTAAAACATGTTTTTAAAACATAATTGTAAGGGAGAGATTTCTACGCTACGACGTTTGATTTCACGTACCGCAAGTTCGCCGGCGATGTAGATGTTGAGGGAGGAGGACTTGGTAGTCATGAGTAGAGAAGTGAACTGACTGCCGGTGACAAGGATCAACGACCACAATATGAAGGCGCGGTACCGGTGGCTGATGATTCTCAAGTGCCGTCTGATTCTCAAATGCTCGGACAGGACCGACCCCACGTCGGAGTCCACTTGGAATACGGTGGCGAAGTCCTGCAGCCGTAGGATCTGGAGGTCGCAGATCAGACGGAAGAGGATGCACACTAGGAAGATCACTGTGGTTCTGTACAGCCACGACAGCAGCTCCATGGAGCACGCTACTGCGTCGCTCACTATAACGTTCCCTAGGAATGGTATTTGCGACGCGCCTGACGCGTACCACCAGATTTTGTACGCGCTCTCCGCTGCGAAGCATGGGACCACGAATGCTGATAGTACTCTCAGTGATCTCTGCAATAAATAAAATAATAATAATAATAATTAAATTAAATTGTCTTTTTCTTTTTCTTTTTGTTTAAGTTAATTTCTAAGCATTATTTGTCCCTAAAAATAATTTTTAAAATTGTTCTTTAATTAAAAAAAAAAAAAAAAAGGATATTATTTCTAAAAATAGAATTTGAAAAAATAAAACAAATTCGGAGAAGTTCATATTAAAATGAGTCTAAACGCTGAATGAGTTCTTACCAGAAACAGAAAAATACCGCAATCAAAGGCATAAAATTCCAAAGAAGTTGACAGGCAATTGAATGGACAGAAAACCGAATTAAACCAGCAGATTTGTCCAAAAGCCAGATATTAATCCCTAAATCTTTCACAAATTCAAGCTCTCTTTTAACTTCCATGGAAATTTCTCTAACAATTTACCTTGAATTCAAATTCAAGAACAAAAACGATTGAACAATCAAGGAATCAGAATCCAGATCCAATCAGTGGAATGAGAAGAAAGAGATAGATAGATGAGTTTCGACTTGGAATATAACTTACATTGAACTTGTTGGTGTATCCTCTTCTCACAGTTTCGCTTTCATCGCAGAGCCTATCGAAGAACAAGAATCTCCGAAGTCCGTACCTCCTGATGAAATTCGAAAGGCAGAGGAAGGAAACCGTCGCCACACTGCTGAGCGACAATTGAACAACGCGATCGAACGGCCTCGCGTGATGGCTATCACAGGAAGAACAGGCGAGATGGAAATGCGACGTCGCTGGAACGACGATAGCGAAGAGGAAGAACACCGACCACGACAATCCAGCGCTCCAAATGTCCGATTGATCCACGCACATCCATCGTAAATACGATCTGAAGCTATGCAATTCGTCCTGAGCGTGAGAGGCTGAGCGATTGAACACCTTCGCCTTTCTGCTAATCAACGCCTCTCTGCTGGTGTCGCCCATGGCGATTGCGAGCGAAACTCAGGATTGTTCCTCCCTCCTCTGCTTGATTTCTTCGCTTTTTGTAGAAATTGATAGGGACGAACAGGATTCCGATTGTGGATTGCTTGATTGAAGTGATGATAAGGAAATTGGAATTTCTTTCACTTCACCTTTTATAGGTTTGATTTGTTGAAGGTTGAATGAGAAGGGATTTGCAGAGAAGAATGAAAAAACTTCGCAACAATTGAACCCTTTCAGGTTTAGGGGTTTTTTATTTTTATTTTTATTTTTATTTTTATTTTTATTTTTCATTCTTTATTTTATACCAATGGAGGAGCGTATGTGGACAACATAAAGAAGAGAAGGATCACAGCCAACGAAATGACACGTGGCGATGCTTAATTCATTGCTTTTTTTTATTTTTATTTTTATTTTTGGTTTCAAAGTCTTCTAAATTATTTAAAAATAAATTAAAATTTCATCTTATAACCTAATCAAATTATTAATTTAATATTGAATTATGCTCGATTTATGGTTATGTGTCAATCTATTACGGCCGATACAAAAAAAAAATATTTTAAATAATTTATCTACTCATAACTAGCTAATATATTCTCTGTCTTGTCAAAAGAATTTTTATATTTAATCCTTTTATATATAAAAAAAATGTTATTCAAAATATAATAGGCTTAGTTTAAGTCACAAGGTGGAAATTCTCGTATTCTATATGTACATGTTCCTGCCACTCGGATGAGTATTCTTGTTAATATCGCTATGGCTATAAACACTTTCTTCTTCCTATTAACAAACACATCTCATTCTTCTTTGCTCTTCTAGAACCCGTACAGAAATTAGTGCTTTTTCTACGTTGTTTACTTTAGTGACTGGAGGGTTTCGGGGGAGACCTATGTGGGGCACCTTTTCGGTGTGGGATGCTCGTTTAACCTCTGTAATCATCTCGTTTCGTATTTACCTAGGTGCACTGCGTTTTCAAAAGCTTCCTGTGCCTATACTTAAACGATCCCTTGAAAACGAGGATAAAACATGACAAGTAGGTAACGTGGTTATGTCGATACAGAGAATATTGAAGTCATTAAACGTGGAATACGAATTATAAATCTAGATCAAAATCCATTAATATAATTATTTATTTATTGATATGAGTTTAAATATTTGGAGTCGAGACGATTAGAATAAAAAATTTCCATAGGATATGATATAATATAATGTGACATAATTGGGAGAGTAATTTTTAAA